GACTGAATTGCATTTAACATTATGAAGATGAAGACAAATGGAGTCGGTTTTTATTAGAGAAACCACCATTGAATGAAACATTGAAAAGCTTTTGCTCAACCACTTTATAATACTTATTCAAAACTAGATTTCTTGAGTAGCTTCGCATCCGTGAATAAAAAGTATAATCCCGTTTCACTACTTCAAGGCAGGTCGAATTTATAGAATAATTTTAGTATGAAGATACATATGTTTTTATATATATGTAGATGTTTACGTTAAAACACCTAAACTAAAAATAGCAAATTTTACAACGATAGTGTAGATACTATCGTTCAAAGTGTCGTTACGTTCTTCAGTATAACTTTTATCAGCGTGCCAGGATATCTAAATATGTATATCCTACGTGCTATCGGAGTTTTTCCCAGGTTGAAGATCCCAAATTTTCTACACTTTAAACAGTAATGGACATTTGTGTGGACCAAATATGTAGTCATATTATTCAACTAAGATTTCTTCAGCACAACTATTCTTTATTACTATGAGTACCAGCTATAAACACTCCTCCTCTTCTTCTTCCTGACATTTTTCCAGCTTTGGCCAGGGTCTGCCAGAGTCTGCCAGGGTTTGCCTACCTGCCATGAACACTATCTGCTAACATATAGGTTTTTACATGGTATAGCTTTATGAGTTCGTTTTTTTTTTTCATGTATGGCATCCCATCCTTTTATCAAGAGAAATGGGAGTGAATCATAATCCAGTATTAATAAGTTCGACGTGTTTTAATTAGACACATAGATCTACTTTTTGAATTAAACATTTTAAACCTTTACTAAGGATAATATTTAATGAAAATATTAAACAATTTTCTTGCAAGATTAAATCTTGCGTCTTTATATCCGCTGGTATTAAGATACCAGCAGTTATTTCTACACCATGTATATCTTGATACATTTAAATACAAAATATATTTTCGAAGAAATGTCTTTAATTTTTTTAAAGTTTTTAATTCTTCTGAATATAATGTATCTTAATAACTTTTCGTAAATATACTAAACACTTATATAAATAATACTATTAGCATTTTATGTTTTGAATTCCCTAGTTTTACTCAATTTGAGTAAAAAGTATAGTAGATAGATAAATACATTTAAACTAGACATAAATATATGCTTTTATTAACCTGTTTCATGAGCAGTATACAAAACTTTTCCAGTTTCATGTCATTCCAAGGAATAATATTCCTGTGATTTCGGTATAATTAAAAAGATATTCAATTGAAAACTTCTATTGAATTGACTATAACTATAATTATTTCATATTTAATTCATAAAAACTGATTTCTTTCAAAAGAGATATAATATTGTATATATTAAGTAAGAATTTTATATATCAAGTAAGAATATAAATAAGAAAACGGGGTTGTCGTTTTTTTGCCTGAAATGTTGCTTTAATCTGATAATTTTAATAACTAAATTTAATATAATGATATTTAATGTCATTCCCGCACGAACATCTGCCGAACAAATCGCTTCTATAACAGCTATTACACAAACTGATCCCAAATTTAAATGAGCCATAAATATATTAAATGTTACCTAAATTCTCATTATTCGGACTAAAATTCCAAAAGATCCAATCAGATAATTTTATCCCGGCAACTCAATTAAAAAATGACCAATATTTTATCTGAAGCTAGTAATTTAGAGCCATTTAACAAAGTTTATATCTTTTTAATACACAATAAAGGAGCCAGGTCTACAAAATGGATCATAAATTCCATCTGTATTAATTGGGAACACTCCTGTCCCATAAACGGAGCTGTAAATATTTACAATCCATAAACTCACTTCCACAGCTGTTCAAAATAAATTTCCTTAACTAGATCATATATATTTTAATTGAACAATTTCGTCTAAATAAAATAAACGTAAATGGGGATTTTAATTTATGTAAAGTCACAAACTGAAAAGAGCTAATTATAACTTACAAAAAATATGTATATTTTATTATTTCAAATTTAAAATTATATATAAATGATATCGTTTTAATACATGAGTCACGATCTGTTATGGTTGTCACGAAAATAACTAAATATGTACATAGTACATACATGTTCATGATAGAAATTTAACAAGCTTTTAACATTCAAGTAGCTCGCTACTGATATGAAGTGATGTTTCATAACTTATAAACAATAATGATAGGTATTATGTACTAAATCGTCAGTGGTGGCCTAGTGGTTAAGGGGCCCGCCTCTCGTTGCCGAGGGCGCGGGTTCAAACCTGGCAAGTACCAATGTGATTTTTCGGAGTCATATGTACTTTCTGAGAGTATTTAGACATCACTGACATACGGTGAAGGAAAACATCGTGAGGAAACCTGGACTTATAGTTTCACAATTATAAGTTTGAAATCACCAACCCGTGTTGAGCAAGCGTGGTGATTAATGCTCAAACCTTCTCCATGTGAGAAAGAGGCCTTGCTCAGCAGTGGGCGCTGATAGGCTGATGACGATTATGTACTATAATTTTAATTTAAGCAAGGAGTGAGTACATAAAAAAACGTATTATAAAAACACATTTATTTGTTTCATTTAATACAAGAGGTGCGTCATTACATACGTTTAATATTTTATTTTTTCCTATTTATGATATAAATTACAAAGACATTGAAGACTTTATAGTAATTTAGTCTTTAAAACTACATACCTAAGTTTACAAATGTTATACCTACTAACAAAATATGTATGCATATGTTTACATAGAAATGATTTGAGTGTTATACATATATTGTAGAAGGACATGTTAAATATGTATTTTAATTCATAATAATATTATTTTTAAGCCATAAGTACTTTTTTATAACAAAAATTTGTTCGATATAAAATTTTCTGTTTAATATATTATTTAGGTAAAACAACTTATAACATGGCAGTTTAATTAAACATTTAAAAGTACTATATCTGAATAATTTTATATCAAACTAAATTATTTTCTACGTTCATATGTTTGAAGACTTAAGTCATATTTAAATGTTCTGTATTGCAGTACTGTTGTATAAGTGAAGTGTTTCTTATATTACAATCTTGAAGGTTTCCGATATTAATATATCTATTATCTAATCTATAGATGTAATCATCTACAGTTGGTGTTATGTATTCAGATAGTATGTAGAATGTTAGACAATTGTAATACTCATACATTATATGGTAATACTACATAGTTACTATATAATATTTTTTAAATAGCATCGAATGTTCTTCTATTTGAAGCCTTTTTAAATTTATATTTCTATATATTCTTGATATGATTAAAACTACAAAATTACATACTTTTAGTAAAATTTTTCTTTATTTACAAAGCAATACAATAAAGCACCAATAACATATACCCCCTGAATAATTTGGTACGATTTTTATATAAAAGGGTAAATATTTTATAAAGCTTTAGTAAATTGGTCTATTTTTGGGACGATTCTTAATAGATCCGAAATTGTGATTTATGTTACATGAAAATTATTTTTTAAAATAAAAAGGTTTTTCAATTATCATGCTATAAAGTTTTGGTCATAGTAATTTTTCTCACGAAAACATCATTCTGTACATGACTACACGTTTAGCATTTTTTTTTCTATATACTGGCCGCCTCTATATCTTGATCATTTCATGCTAAAACACTATTCCATACACATAATTTAGTAAAATATTTAAAATAATATATATACACTATCTAAACTAAATAGTTTATTTTATCCTTAAGACTACAGGTTATGTTTTTCTTTCCACTAAACTATAAACTACTATTAATAAAACTACCAATTACAGCACTAGTGTATTCTAAATTATTATAAATTTTTACAAAATAAAATCATTTAATGGCTACCTTTGGTTATCCTACCTTTATTGATATTATAAAATTCAAATAATACATAGAGATAGTATTTTGAGGTTTATTTAAAATAAGTATTTTAATATTTAAAAGAAAATTAAAAGCTACTCAGGAGGAAACTAAATAATATTCATAGTGAGTCATGCGAATGAAGTTAACAACACAATGTGTTAAGAACAAAAATGGACGGATATTCGTTCAGGCAAATAAACACGTTTAGGTAATTTTTCTCAATAAGTAATTTAAATAAAACTTTAGTTATTAGTGTGTCAATAACAAACATACTCGTCCCCTTTCTAAAAGTTATTTATGTAACAATATTTACGTAAATTATATCAGAAAAGAATTATTTTATTTAGACGGTAGGTACTATTAGTGAAAATCTTTAAGATACTGAAAAGTATAAATTTTATCGTGCACCCTAATAGAGTACACGGAACGTAATAAAACGTGCAAATTTCTAAAGCACATTAAATACTTTCCATTACAATAATTATTCTCTAAACTATGTTTAATGTTCCTCCTCAATTTCTATTAAAGCCTGTTCCGCGCAGTAATTTTTTTTCTCTTTGAACTTTGAGATAACTAATGTTTTTATCAAGCATCTGTATTAAATCTTTGGCACTTTGTATTTATTTATTTTGAACTGTACTATTTTCACTTTATTAAAATGTCAAATTACACTTCGCTGTATTTAAACATTACTTATCTCAATGCTAAGATAATAAACATTCACTATAATTTGAACGACACAAATATACATTGTATAATAAATATTGTTCTCTATAACCACATCACAAACTATTTTATACAAAATAACATTTTCCATCTAATACGATATATTTTTGTCGATATGTTTACAATTTAAATAATATAGTTCATTGGCCAAACATGCACATATATTCTACGAATATTCGTTGTTTCCAAATAAAGTCTAAGGTTAGCAAACGAAGTTTCTTAGCGATATAGTTTAATATTATCACATACATTACACTGACACGTCTAAGCGGCACAAAAGAGCAGGTCCGATCGCTCAGCACACGAACTCAACTCTCAGAAGTAGTAAATCTCATCAGCAGTTTCGAAGTGTACGTGCTTCTTGCCGTGTGTTGGCAGCACGACTAACAACCATCAGGCCGGGCCAGGGTTCTTGCCGTTCACGCATCCACTTTTTGCCTCACTTTTGGGACTCTTTGGAATCACGTCATCACTGTTGTCGGGTTCGTTAATTTCTGGTATCTTAAGCTTAGTTTCAGTGTCTTTGTCAGCTTGCGTGAGGACCTCCTGTACGTGGATGGTCAGTTCTGGTCGAACGACTTGCGTGAACGGCAGCAGGGCTCCGGCCACGTCCATCGTGTTGTTAATGTTGCGGTGCCACAGCTCGAGCACGACACTGCGCCGTTGCTACTTGTATCTCGGCGGACCAAGCCAGCCGCAGCCGAATACCTAAATATACATTAAAACTTCAGTTCAACATACGAAAATAATTTCAAGGAAGACTAACTACACCAATATTAAAGTTTCAACAATTAGAACTTAGTAATTATCATACTTTAAAAAAAAAAAATTATGAGTAATATTATAAACAGATTAGCTACCAAGTGATAAACTAAGTCTAAAAACTTACTTGACAAATAACAAGGGCCAATAACAGCAGTAATATAAGAGCAATGACACCCCATACAACTCCAAGCTGTGTTATGGCAAATACATAAAGAGTTTTGTGACACCATTGGTTAGGCTCAAACAGTGTTGGAGCGTAGTCCGGCCACATGATACCCACGGTCCAGTAGTTACCGAAGGCGAACCTGTGTTATATTTATTGTAATTATGATTTAAAGAAAGGGAAGAAACAATAAGTTCTTATAGTTACCTGACAGAAACTGATTTGTGTTTTAAGATGAAGAAATTAATTACTAAGCATTCTTAAATCACATTAAAGTTTATTAATTTCCAACATTTTTTATTGTTCGTATGAATAAAAATTTACTCCTATTATTCTTATTCAAACTATAGCTAGAAAACGGCAATAAAAATCCACCAAATTGCTGCTAGAATGGTAACTTTAATATGTCTGGATAACGCCAGTGCGCTCTACTAGTAATTTATAACATACAAAATCATTGAGAAACTCAAGCATATGAAATACACAATTCATAATATACGAATTTCATTTATTTTCATAAAGGTATCAAAATAAAAAGAAAAAAATCCGAAAGCATGACTAATTACAGGCAAAAAGGTTCTCCAACAAAAACACTTTGAACAATCCTCGTGAAAACGTTCCAATTAGCGACACAATCCTCACTGAAATACAAGACTTAAAAAAAAAAGCACGAACATAACAAATGCGGGTTTTGAACGATTCAACTAATGGTATTTAATATCTACTTCCTTATATATTTCAAAGTGAAATTTGTTCTTTTTTTGTAAGACTTTTAAATGGGAAAGCAATATTTCTATTTATTTATCTTGAAAAGATCCGTCAAAGTAAATAACAGGTTATTGACCTCCATAATATTTTTCGGTAAGATCTAAATATATTAATTATATTAGTTTCCAAAGTTTTAAAATAAATTGAAAAAATATTATGGTAGAGATTTAATTCCTCTTAGAAAATTAAGAAATATATAACTACATATATATCACATTTTGACCGCGAATCTATTCTTGTGATCATAATAGTTGTGCTCACAGAGAAATTAATAAAATGTGGTAAATCTTTACTTTTGTATATTTACAGTCAATACATACATGCATATGTATAAGTTGCAGTTATTTCATTTAAATAACCCAGATACTAACAGCCGCGCTATCAGCCGAGATAATTTGTAAAAGTTAAATCAACGAGGCACACCCAAAATGCAAACAAAAAAAACATTTAAATAGTTCCACCCGATTACGAGAAGTTCAATGACATACACACGTACAGTAGAAACATATACATAATATGTACATACAAAAAGATGTGACAAAAATTATTGATTTCTTAGACACGTTTTTATGATAATTATTGGAAAAAAATAAATTTAAAATCTCAAAAAGTTGAAATCAACAGATTTTTTTTTTTATGTTTATTTGTCTCACCATCCCATTAGAAATCCAGCAAGAGTATACGCGAGGATTCTCTCTGGCACACTAGCTGTTGAACTGACGGTGCGGCTGGCGAGCTGAGCCCACAACAACCAACAGATACCTGCACCACCGGCTGCTCCACCCACCACCATATAAACAGGAATCCTGGGCTCCGCTGGACAGTCACGTATGTACTGCACCCCTAGATGAGAAACCACACGAAGATTTATACTTTGAATCCCTTTTCATGTAACAGAAGTTATGATACGATAATTGTTATATAGTATCATTTTCTTTTTCAGTAAATATTCCATAAAACCGACTATACTAAAGCTTTGGAAAAATAATTCAAATAAAAACACTTATGTATATAATATGTATGTTAAAACTGTAATGTCCTTCAATGAAATAAGTTTTTAATACAAGCTGTAACCTAATAAATAAAAACTGTTGACAAGAAAACTACTATGAAATTTTATAGGTATTTTAATCGTGATTTTCAGTCAGTATAATAAACACGCTACATATTGTTAGTTGTTACAGTGATTGGAACTCAATACTGTTGAACGGGCTTTGTTATTACAATGTGTGTTTTTATTTAATATGAATATCCTATACCACAGTAGCTTCCAGTCTGTGATATGATGATATATGATGATTTTGAAATATAAAATAAATATTATACGGTAGAAAAGGCTTTGATAGATTTAAATATAATAAATAAGTTACAAAAATTAAATCCGTTCAATCCATTTTATTCGATTCGAATAAAAATTTCAGATCCAATTTTATGTGAATAGAATTAAAAACAGTCGTTAATAAAAACAGATCTTGAAGAGTTTTTCATTAAATGGAAGATCAACGATATTTCACTGTTCCCGAATAATTCTAGATTGAAATTTATTATCTTGACATTGAGTGATTTCTACCGTTTACGCAATTTAGTGAGCTCTAAAGGATTTACTTAAGAGGATTCACAGAATTCATTCTAAGTTTTAAATATTAACGCTATTGCCTTGGTTTATATAAATAGTTTTTTAGATTGAACATAAAATATAAAGACAATATAGTACAATAAAATAGGTGAATACATCATGTGGATCTGATTAATGAGGGCACTTAAATTATTTATCTCCAGTGATATACATATATTAGGATTTACTTTTAAAATTGAAGTTATATCAGTCGAATTGTTTCAAAGTTATGTATATATTACGAAGGCAGATGTTACTTACCCATAATTAACATAATAACTGGCAGCGACGACAGACAAGCCAAGAAGACAGTCATTACAACTGCAACGAATTTCATATATTATGCGAGGTTCATTCGTAATAAGGCTTTTTGAATTGAAAATAATCTTGTTTTAAATTACAAGTGATATAAATTTTACGTGAGAAATAACTAAGCTTACAGTTACTGACTGGAAAATTATAAAACGTTATAGAGACAAAAAAAAAGGTATTGACTCTTTGGACAGTTATTTTTGAAATTAGATGATTATTTTTGTAATTGAAACTCAAAAGCAATGGATTATTTGAAGCTATTTAACACACTTGTTCTATTCATAATCCTAGCGGCTCTGCAAACAAAGTCGACGGTGCCAGAAGCTTCCATGTTCGCATCTTTCAGCTGATAAGCAACGGAACCGTATGTAGTGAGACCAACTCCCAAGCCAAGGCCGCTTCGGTCACTGTATTTGGCCTGTTCTCCGCAAAGTCTGCGTTGTTCATCACCAGATACCTGTTCAGTGAAACATAAGTAGCTTGTTTATTTTTCAAGGTTTGAGTCTTATTTATATAAAGAAAAAATATTTGATTTATTTACAATATGGTACATTTAGAAACTCACTTGACTAACTGAGCTGGACGCCCTTCTAGAGCCAGTATCAGATAAAGCTCCGGTACCACTCTGTCGGCCACCAAGAGAAGCTCTGTATGGTGACACGCTGCGACCCCGATTACCTAAAAAAATATATGTCATATAACATACGTATAGATAAACAAGAATTTGATAAAAACATGTTAGTTTTTTACCAGCACATTGACTATCTTCACTAGCTCGTCGCTCTCGAGAAACTAAAGGCTCTTGAAATGTTAACGTCAAACTTCCCCTGGGACTAATCCTTGCTGTTTCAATGTCACCCGTGACTAAGCTGCCTCTAGCACTTCTTTCAGATGGAGCAATACTGCCTCTCGGACTTCTTTGTGAATCGGGTATCAAAGAACCTCTTGGACTTCTGTTTATTTCTGGACCATCTTTTCTCAAAGTTGAATCCGGAGCTATACTTCCTCTGGGACTGGTTCTTTGACTTGGACCTAATTCCTTTTGATTTCGTGCTGGATCAATTTGTATACTTGCTACAGAATGACGTGGGCTTCTACCAACATCTGGTACCAATGAATTTCTCGGCTGATTCCATGAAGATCCCTCTGGGACTAAACTTCTCCTTGGACTTCTAGCTGCTAAGTCAGGTGTTATACTATTTCTAGGACTTCGATTAAAATCTTGCGGATTAAGACTTAAACGAGATCCATACGCTTGTTCTACTCCTAAATTATTCCTAGAAGGTGCCAAACTATTTCTTACTAATGCTGTTTCAGGTGTGATTGAATTTCTGGCTGACCTACTTTCGGGGACCAGAGAATGTCTTGGACTTCGATGATAGGACTCAAATGCCGTATCTGGAGCAAGGCTGGCTCTAGGACTCCTCTGTGGAGGTGGAGGTTCAATCTCATCGTCTGTTTCGGTAGTCGCGAGAGACGCTCGTCGAGAAGACTGTGCAGAAGGTCTTGGGGACCTGGTCTGCGGTGAAGTTGCAGCACTTCTTGATGCCCGACGTCGTCGAGAGGAAGATGTTCTATGCAGCATTTTTCCAGTTATACCAACATTTCCTCTGTTTCTTTATAGTTGACGGGTTGTCTATAGAAAAAAAGAATGAAATTACTAAAATTTTATATATGGGAAAAATATACAAGATTATATCTTCTACTATTTTACTACTTTATCAACAAAAATTTCTAGTTACATTTTAATTTGAAAGAAAAACACGACTTTGAACTTGTATTGAGCTATTCACTTTAAATATAACATGACCTGTATTTGAAAAGTTAATTTATTACTTAATGCAAAACTTTTTCATTGTAAACTTTTAAGAATTTCTGGACAAAATAGCGATTGCATTATTTCTTTTAAAGACTTTAAATAAATTCAGTTGGCTTTTCCTTTAATATTTTAAAGTCAAACCTCAGACTAAAGTTGAAATTACTTTGTGGAACTGCATAAAATTCATTGTGCAGGTTATACTTAAATAAGAATATACGGAGAATCCATAATATTGAAAATATGGTGACTTTCAGATTTAATGGACGGTCTTTCAATACCAATTACATTTAAACCTTATAACTGTAGTCATGGCTTATTACTTATCACATCTGAATATATATTATTATACAAATAGTAAAATATAAAAACTGAACCAAAATGTAAATTTAATACTTTTATAAGTAACTCTAAAATATTTGTAATATAAAAGAAAAACATCGCGACACTTAAAAGATAAACTTGAACTAAAAAATTTCACATGTAAAGTTGTCAGAATTAAATATATTTGAATTGTTTCACTGCCTCTACAATTCCTTAAAATTGTTTAGATAATTTCGGTTTTTAATAATATGGCACCAGGTTGCCCCAGTGTAACATGCATTTATATCATCAGTAGGGCTATTTCAAGAGGATCGAATAAAAAATTGAGGTGAATAGTTTTCGGCCTTTAATCGCCAATTTCTCCTGAAGTAAATACAATTGCAGTTAGTTTACAGCTTATAAAATTTATGTTTACAATGAGATTGTAAACAAATCTAGATTTTTCTTTTTAAAATAACTAAATTGTTCTACTCGAGTGACCTACTTTCTATTTGATTATTTGTTTCTTTCCGAAGAGTTCTTGACGTTTCAACAGGCTCAGCAATAGACGCTTTAAAATTTTTTGTAGAACCTTTTGGTTATTGAAGTTTAAAAATGACGTAACACAATTAATAACTCTTCCTTACATACTTCATGCAATTAAAATTTATTTTGCTTTTGTATTGTTGTTTCTTATTCACATTTTTTTTCAGTCTACTTTTAATTACATATTACTGTCTTATTAAAATAAGATGATTTGAAATTACTTAGTGTTTTCCTTTTATTATTTAATACTATTTGGAAATATGTATTTATCCCCAAGTAAATTAGCCTTCAAATACGTTTTCAGTGTCATATTTCATGGAGATTTCCTGAGACTACAGACGGATTGTGGCAAAAATTGAAATAACATTAGCTCAAGCATACATTAAATTATATCTACAAATAGGTTTAATGACATTTCGATCAACGCTTTACATATTTCGATTGCTCGTTATGTATAACATATTTGTTTAAAGAAGCTAATTAAGGACTAATTGAATATATCGCCCAAGATAGTCTATAGAATATATTATGATCTATTACATGTTATAAATCTTAACATTCATTCATGTAATGCTCAAACCCTCAATTTTCCGTTCAAAAGCTGACCTGATTCGATGATTGAATCTAAAATAACAATCACGAAACCGTTTAACCGCATCTTGTTTAACTATAAAATGGAACCGATTCCAATTAGCAACAATCCGACCCTTTACAGTTCACTGTTTCGTAAATACCAACACTATTGTCATCAGACCGTACAGTTCATTACAACAAATCAAATATAACTCAGAGACAATATACTCAATTTTCTTTCAGAAATCTTAATTACTTGAATGATTTTTTGGATTAACTACATACTCGAATTATATTATTTTAAAAACTACATACTCCCGACGTCTCGGTTACTCTGCAGCAACAGTGATCACGGACAGACGAGATGTAAATGTTTCTAAAAATAATAAATAACGCGAAGTATTCTGAAAAATTAGTTTCATTTAAATGAATACTCGAGAAAGTCTAAGATCTCATTATCTTAATTACTTAATCAAGACAGGGTAGCGTTTATTAATAATTATACTTTTGACTGACTTTCCAACAAAGCATTACTTTTTGTAAGATTTCATTATTTTAAACGGCTACTCTGATATTGAAAAGAAAAGTAATAACAGAAGTCGTTCTAGCAGTTTTAAGTCTTACTTTAGTAAGTAAAAATAAAAGAGTAAGTACGTAATTTTGAATATTTTTAAAACATAATGATTTGGGTTAATTCATTAAATATTGTATCATAATTACTTATTCTTTAAGTTTAATGTACAATAGACTAATGAGACAAGTCGCAATCAATGTGGTAACTTTATGATTACAATAGAGGAAATTGAAAGAAAAACTTGTAGCAGTTATGCATGCACATTTTACATACATATAAGTATTGTTATAGCTACTCCAATTTCATTTATCTCCAGTTCAATATGAATAAAGTTAAATATACCACATCCCACACACAACATACACAGGACTTTGTTAAATATTTTCCGTTATTATAACAAAGTTAAACCCAACTGTTACAAAACGAACTAATTTACAACTTGGTCGTGAAATCGAAAAGTTAATTGAGTTGCAACAACCCATGAGTAAACAAATTTAATTAATTTCACTGATACATGGTGTTCACAGACACATGTCCAGTTTGATGAACATACCCTATATGATTTTGTAAATGTAAATTAGTCAATTATAAGTTGTGAGATCTCATTAAAACAGCCCAATTAACAGAAAAGTAGCAACATTCAGAATATAATTGTAATTAAAAACTGTATCGCAAATAATGAAAGTTCAATAGAAGGTAGATATTAAAACTTCAATTTAATATAATAATTGGAGCGTCAAGAAGTGCTGAAAAGGTATAAGCTCGGTTTTTAATAAAGCAATTCGTAATTTAGAAAATGCGACGACGCGATGTAATGTAATAAGAAACAATTTAGAATTGGTAGAATAAACAAAACGCGAACGTAATATATTTAGTCTTCATAAATTTTTACTTTTGCGATTTAATAAAAGAAAAAAATGTTATGAGACTTATGTTTGTAAGGTTCCACATGATTACTAAACGAAATTGGTTTTATAAAAGAAAACGTATTGTAGAAAAAGTTATCGCGTGATACTAACAATATTTCGGCATTACTAAATATCCCGTAATAGTAAGTTACCACATAAAAAGATAAAGTTCGCGTGAGAAGCGCTCGCTCTAATAAATCGATGTACGCTATTAACCTAGAAACTATTTTGTAAACACTTCAGGAACTGTTCCGACTCTTATTGTAGATCGCATCTATACAGATAAATATCAATTACAAGGAGTTGAGAAATACTGCCTTTTATAGGAAATTAGAACGATTGCTGAGATATGAACAATCAGTTATATATGTGTATACATATATAAATATGTTTGTGTGTGTATTATTTAATTACAATTAACAATCAGTTCGATACAGGAAAGATTCAAAAAACCATTTAATACTTTCTCACAGTATAACCCCCTTAAGTTTGCCTATATATACATATATATACTTTTTACATACAGTAATAGATTATTAAACTCCACAATCGAGTTTCAGTTTTAATTTTATATAAGCTTTAATAAGTCAAATGAGTGCAATATATTTATTAAACCATAAAGTCTTAACGATAAAACGAATCCCAATTGAAACGAGCACTTAAATGTTAATGGTAAGCCTGCGAAATCAATTAAAGTTGAGAATATAGCTTCATATAATATTATAGACAGTATCTAGTAAAAGTTACACATTAAAGTTAAAAATAAATGTTATAATAATACAAGCAATTTTCGTCTCAAATACTCACTTTTATTACTATGTAGTTAGGTAAAATTGATGTCTATATTTAGATTATGAATTATTTTTTTAAATTATGTTTGTATTTTTTTAAACTGTTTCGAACGTAGCAGATATTTTTTATTATAGTGAATATTGTTTAACAAGACAGAATGAGAGACTAAACAATTGCTTAGGGGAGGACTGATAAAATATATATGTATAAAAATATTATTACAGGTCGGAGTTTGATATAATCTAATAATTACTAAAGAAAAATCCTCCCTTTATAGAATATAAATACTAATCGAATACTGGATGCTAAAGTAATTTTAATTAATAATATATTTATGGATAATTAAAGAAATATATCACATTATCTATTTCGAGCAAAAATTTTATAATTAAAATACCGAAATAGAAATTGTAAATGTTTGAAAACCAAATTATTTATATACGAAACTATTTCAATAACTCAAACACCAAGTATTTGACAATTACAATCAAACAAATGCCACGTCTTCGAGCATTCTTGTTCCTTTAACAGCCAACATGAAACACATTATCTCTGAGACTGGAATTTCTATCTCCCAACATCATATGAACCATTACCGGATTTCCACACAAGCAATTTACTAACTTAGTTCAACCTAAATTTAGCTCAGACTTGTTAAGAGAACACAAACTAGAATCTGTTGAGTTTACTTAATGCGAAGTGTGCATTTGTACTGAGCTGAACATGTGTTAAAGCGTTTTTGGTTATTACAGTTAGGGATTTAACTAAAGGTGGTAGAGATTATAAAGGAAATAGTTTATAAAATGTTTAATAAAACTTCTAATAATGAGATAAAAAGTGAGTGAAATGAATAGAGATATTAAATTACAATCTTTTAACCAGTAAATACTGCCAGATATTTCTTTCCGTTGTAAGAACTTATTGTCATCTAATTTTAAAAACAAGACTTTTACATGAAGCTAAAGGAAATCAGTGTTGATAGGATTGAAATCTAAATGATGCAAAGAAATATTAATTTACTATTTTGATTCCAAGTGATTTTAAATAATTAAAATACTTTAAGACAACAAAGT